CGGGCAGTGGCCACTCAGACATCGGCCGCCCCGCCCCGTGCCGTGGCCATCGCACTTTCCAAAAGGGCAGCCAGCAGCAGGCAGTTCCGTTTCGAATGCACGGCCGCGCTGTCCACCCGCCACGCCACGCCGTGATCAGAAATTTCGAGGTTAGGAAAGTGGGATGAGGCGGGCGCGTCTTTTCTTTCGGGAGAAAGAGGTGTAGTGTACAGTCGGGGCCGGTGGGGGCACACGACGGCAAGAGAGAAGGCGGATTGAGAGAACAATTGTTCTTTCCCAGTAGGGTTCGGGAAAGCAATTTCCCTTATCTCGGAGCGCATTCCAGAGGTCACTGCTGCTATTTTGCCATCCGGCCGGTGCAAGGCAGGCTAGAGATAGAGTAAAGGAAAGAAAGCAGCGGAAGAGGGACACAGCGCGAGGAAAAGGTAGGGTGAAAAAAAAAAGAAATGTAAAGGAAAAGAAGGTGTAGAGAAGCAGTTCGTTTGGCAGTAAATCACAGGGAGGTGGTAGGGCGGGGGAGAGGGCTCAAGGTCAAGGTGATAGCGATTCGAGATATCGCTGTGGAGAAGCACCGGGAGAGCCAATTCCGACCGAAAAGTACGACCAGGAGCTGCTGGAAAAATTCCTCGAGGGAATCGTAACAGCTGAGTGCGAGCCATAGCTACGATGTGTGTGTATCTACGTGTCTCTGCAGAGTTCCTGGGGGGATTCGGAAGCCACTAGAGTACCCCCCGCACAGATGAACTTTTGAAACTATCCGGCACCTGTTGACACGGTGAGGTGGTACCTTTTTCGGGGCCTGAGCCTGGGACCTTCTTCGAATGGGGGCATGAGCAGGACGCACCGTCCCTCCCCGCCCAAAGCGCCTGTTTTCGTTTCTCACTTGTCCCTGGGTGGCTGTGCACCTGCTGCAGCAGCTGCATACGGGGCCGGTGTGTGTGACAGTTGCTGCTGCTGCTGCTGCTGTTGCGGTGGCGGGCAGCCCGAGCCGAGTCTCACTGGGCTGCACTCTCACTTTCTATCCAGCTGACCCCCATTCCACGTCTCGGCGGCGCGTACCCTGCTTACCCCCTCCTCCCCCGCTCTCTCTCTCTCTCTCTCTCTCTCTCTCTCTCTCTCTCTCTCTCTC